GGGTTATAAGATAACGAGGGTTATAAGATAACGAGGGTTATAAGATAGTGAGGGTTATAAGATAGTGAGGGTTATAAGATAGTGAGGGTTATAAGATAACGAGGGTTATAAGATAGTGAGGGTTATAAGATAACGAGGGTTATAAGATAACGAGGGTTATAAGATAACGAGGGTTATAAGATAACGAGGGTTATAAGATAGTGAGGGTTATAAGATAGTGAGGGTTATAAGATACAAGTCTCAAAAATCTCTAAAACGGACATCTTATAATAAAGTGACGTTTTCAAATTGATTCGGACCACATAATTAGCAGATTCGTCGATTTCTCTCGACTGATCACCCGTCGACTTTAATACGGGGAGAGAGTGTGAGCACAGTCACTCTAATAGGATAGTGACTGTGGGTTGAGGAAAAACGTAAACATGGTACAGAGCTTCTGTGTGATTTGATATTAACAACGGTGATATATTATTTTAATTCCAGTGAAGTTTTGAACTTCCGATATGTATCTAATTTGCCTGTTGAACATACGTCACGGAACCAATCCTGATATACAATATTTAAACCGTACACAAATCTTATTCATAACTCTTTTATAATGTTCACTTCATGGATAGACATGGTCTAAGCTAGGCATGCAAACACGAACGAAATCCTGCTATATACAGCATGCTATATAACATTTACGTGAGCATTTATTGTTATACATATCAACCAGTTTTTACCAGTAATTGAATATCTCCCACATTTACCAAGGATAGATTTATGGTCACATGTACAATACGTTCAAGACTATCGTATTTATATAAGTCAGTATTTACAGTGACTATCACTTATAATACGTTTACCTATTAACAGATGTTATTTAACGAAGCAAATATTCGGCATTTAGAAACACAGACGGATACCGTGATACACATGCATGTTTTTGTTTCATTCCACATTCTTCGAGCAGACCGAGCGTGGTTCGTTCGGCGTAGACAACCCAATATTGCGGAGCAGTAAATAGCAGCCGAGTTATACATTATAACATTTGGTGCACAAAAAGATAATCCTGTTTTAATTAATGATAAACCACTGAATGACATTTTCTATGCTGATGACTTGGTTTTATTATCAGAAAGTGCTGAAGACCTGCAAAACTGTTTAAATAAATTATCAAATTATTGCTCACAATGGAGATTAACTATAAATATAAATATAAAGAAAATATAATCTTCACACCTATCGGAAAACTTAAACTAAATCAACAAATGCTAAAAAACAAAGCATTGAAAGCACTGTTCACTATCAGACATACAGTGTTGCGTCACAAGATGGTCACCCCTAAGTATTGTCTGAAGTTGTTTGATCAATTACTTTCACCAATTCTGTTGTATGGAGCTGAGGTTTGGGCATGTGAAATTTCAAACAATGTTAATAGTCTTGAACAAGTATGCAGTCAGTTTTATCGGTTCATACTTGGAGTAAATAAAGTAACCCCAACTATAGGTATTAGGGGGGATTAGGCAGAATACCAATAAGAATTAAAAGTTGTATTTTACAAATGAAATATTGGTATAGACTTCACACCCCGCCAAATAACCACATCCTTAAGTCAGCGTTAATTGAATCAATGAAAATAAATACTTCTTGGATAAAAAATGTTGAAAACATTTTAGAGCAGTGTGAACTGGAAGATTTAAAGTCTGACAACCCTAAAATAAATAAAGCAATTATCAGATTCAATAAAATCATAAAGTATTCTTCATTCTGGAAAGATCAACGTAATAAATCAAGCGGTAAAATGGGGAGGGAAATACGCTAAGAACGTACAAGCTATTCAAAAAAGATCTTCTATTTGAAGATTATTTAGACAACATCATTAATTTCAATCTACGGGAAATGTTATCAAGATTACGACTAAGTGATCATACTCTAGAAATAGAATTAGGTCGCCGAAAAAAGTGTAAGAAATGTAATAATGATGTGATAGAGGATGAGATGCATTTCATTCTGGAATGTACATGTTTTAAAATTGAAAGACAATCTTTATTTCTAGAGTGTAACATCACTAATAAAATCGTAGGCAAGCAAAATAAAAATGTTTTTCTTAAAATAATGAAACATGATCTTGCCTTTTCCAAATTTTTTGAAAAATACATTATTCAAGGGAAATACTTAATTATGTAAATACGCATCCATGAGAGAACCAATGTCTTTTCTATGCAATGTCAATTTTAGTATTTTATCCTATTAATGTTTTACTTTTATTTAATTAGTTTTATCATTTTAGTCTTTTGTTATTTGTTACTTTTACCATACTAAACCCCTTGATAGTTTTGGTTGTGTAATAAAGTTATTATAACACTCTTGACTATGTGATCTTTAGTGCAACTTTCTTCTCGTTTTTTTAAAGAGGCGTTTTACTTCCTGTGGCGTTACCCGGATTAAAACCTGTTTTTGCGTGAATATCGACCCGGGTCGGGTTTTCTGGTAATCTGATCATCGACCTATTGTTCATCTTCAACAAAAACTGTTACATAAGCACGCAGCAGTCACGTTGGGGTTTATAGAAAATCCAGATTCGCGGTATAACACTGTCAACCAACGTGTTCTCAAACTTCATTCTCTATGAAAACGATAAACCGCCATGATTGTATTTATTGGAGATGCTTACAAACTTTTTATTGGTATCTTATATTGGGTAGAAGTTGACGTGGAGTACAAATAATCAAAAAGATGGCGAACGCACGATTTCATCAGCAACACGCAGAACCTGTATCTAACATATGTTTTATTATACACTCGACAGCTAGATTTCTAAATGCAAATCCACTTGTACTAAACACCTTATAAGGAGACTTTCGAATGTTTGTGCTTCTACTAAACACCTTATAAGGAGACTTTCGAATGTTTGTGCTTCTACTAAAGACCTTATAAGGAGACTTTCGAATGTTTGTGCTTCTACTAAAGACCTTATAAGGAGACTTTCGAATGTTTGTGCTTGTACTAATACAATGTAACAATCATGGCGACATAATGGCTACACACAAACGATGAAACCCAGGTTTGTGGTTCATTTTTAGCCATTTTGGTTTCTGGGAGATTCTACATATGTATGGCATTAGCAATGGTTTTCATGTCTGCGCTCAACTATTATTAAAAAGTGAAAATATAATATCAACAAGTCTTGGTATGCATAGCTGTGTTTCCATATTATGTTAGGCACATGTTGTATCTATACGAGACAACACTAAATATGGTGCTCGAATCATTTTAATATGAGTTTTATATTATTCTCCCAACAAGTTATTGTTGCAAAACTGATGTATGAATATTGATGGTTCCTCCCAAGTCCCGCAACAGAATAACAGAATGATTCAGAATTAATGATAGAATTTTGTAATTTTTACTTGTTCGAGACTGCATTTACAACCAAATTATTAGATTATAATGAATATCAATGATCACTATATTATTGAGGGGTTAGATTCTACCTCAGACCACTGAAATAACAGACTGGGAACGGAAATTGTTTTAGTTGTGAATGTGGATTAAGTCTACCACGGCAAAATTTGCTGGTAGTTTATTGAATAAGCCTACTTGAAGATTTCTAATGGGTCTTGCATTTACCTGCTTCGTGTGTATTCTTTTAGTGGTTTGAGATTCTACGTGTGGGTCACTTCTCAGACTAAAATAGTAGTCTGACGTCACTTCTAAAACTTCAGTGTTTGTTTGATATATAGCTAGGTGGCACGTGTTAATCAATTCTGATTCGCTCCTCAGAATCTAGTCAATCGTGACCTCAATGTTTGTCAGTAATGTATAGCATAGTCCCGGGGCCTGGTAATTTATATTGGCGATGCTGTGACATATAAATCAATACATTGCCTGAAGAACTATCTGTTACCATCATATGAAAAAAGTAATGTACGGCTGACTGGAGTCCTAATATCTTAAAGCGCGGTGGTCGTCGCGCAGCGCGTGTTCGAATTTCATGTAGATAAACAGTGTATTTTACACGCGTTGTATACGACGCCGGCACGACGACTGCCGCCCTTTAAGATTATTTCTCGTCGGGTTTTTAGTGTTACTTTTTCATGCATGGAAATAACAGGATTGAAAATCGATGTATGGGAAAATTGCGATTGTTTTTTTTTTATACATGGTTTGTAACTACTAAACGAGCTAACCATGGAAGACAGTAGTTAGCTATCTTGCATGGCAATACACACCGCGGCGATCGTAATATCAAAGCGACCATTGGATGTATGTATCTCCATCGGAATTAGATTAGTACAGACAGTGGGCAAGTAGAGAGAGATAGTGTGTGAACTCGGACCAACGATGTAACAAATAATATAACCCTCAAAATAAGCTTCACGTAGTAACCTGTTCACAATTTATATTAACGTGATGTACAATTATTTTTTTGTTATTTAACTACAAAGACTTTTTTTTTAAATTATTCCAGTGACACGAACTTATTTTAGCAATTATTGAAATGAAATCACGCGGAACGCATAACGGACCATTTATATGTAAATATATTGTAATATTAAATATTTAAAATTAATACATTCACATTTGTCCAGTGATTTGCATCAGCTATTGTCGTGTCGTATTATCCAATTGAAAGTCAATTTTATATTTCATTCAATTCATTGTCATCTTATTAATTTCTGGTCACACATGTATAATATGTCTGTTATTTTATGATACAGTGACGGGGTCAAAGTTCATTCTAACTGACTAACATCAAAGATTGCCGTAATACAGTCTAAGAGAGACGTTTTAGTTAAAATAAATTACATACCTGATATCGGCCACTCATTAACTGTGCCCGTGTTGGTGAACACATCGGCTGTACGTAATAATTCTCCAATTTTACTCCCTCGCTGGCTAGAAAATCCATATACGGCGATCTTACAATGGAACCATGGTAACCGATGTCATGCCAACCAAAGTCATCGGCGAGGATGAAGACGATGTTCGGCCTCTTGTCTCCGCCTTCTGTAATTCTGATTAAAATGAGAAAACATACAGCACGAAACAAGGGAGTCAAATCCATGGTTTGTGTCGCTTGCTATATTTGTATTTGCATATGAGAGTCGACTTCTGGTTCTGTCCCAGCTGTGACCACGGATAAGCCGATTAGAGTCGACATAGTTGCGTCGACTTTACAACCGGTGAGGGCGGTATTCACGAAACAATGATGGCGGTATTTTTTATTCTCTCGTCGTTCGGATCTCATTATCAGTGAAAGTTAGAGCTCGCATTTAGCTGTCATCATTATCCGATCTGCAAGACAGAGACAGATTGAATCATGGGTAAGTAATTTTCGACCGCGGACTAACATCATACTTCGGAACTTCGCCGTGGAAGTCTATAGAGAGTTCATTCACTGAGGAAACATGTATAGCCAACTTAATTAAGTGTGTGGTAAGGTAATACATTCAAAGTTTAAAATAAGAATACAGATATTTTTTCACATTGTCTACGAAGGTTATGGTTTGAAATGAACTAAATTTCGTTGTACGATACCCAGGTGCTCCAAGGCCGAGTAAAAACCTCACCATTGTGACAGTAAACTGACTTATACCATAGACCTTAGAAAACAGCAACTTCTGTCTGAGACAAAGAAAAATCCAGTTTCTTGTGCAACGTGGGTTATAATCCCTTGTATAGGTAATACCATTAATACATATACCTATACATCTGAAACAGTTTTAGTTCTCACCTTTCTACTCTTTTTTATGTTTGATAAGTTATGCTGTGCCAATATTCACATTTGTCAGTGTATAACGGGTGCACTATGCTATATCGGTTATATATTTGTAATGTACATTGGAGTAAAGATCACACGTTAAGCCACATATAATTAATCATATGGGAAAGAAATGCAAGTATACTACAGAATCGTTTGAGACGCTCAAACCACTGTCGATCACCATCCCATCGTTCAGGGGATCATTCACCGGCGGATGTGACTTTAGGGTAACCTTGGTTTTGCGGGTGGTTGTTTTCGACTGGACCCGATTGTCATAATAGTCATGCATCCCTGTCGAGTAATCCCACAAATGTGTTTTATGAGGTAAAAACGCACTGCACTTACATGAAACAAGGCGGGGAACATTGCGAGTTATTGCCAGGAACTATCACTTGGTACAACAATATTTAAAAACAAAGCGTCAAGATCCATAATCCCTGAAACTGCAATTTTGTATAAAATTGTGAAATAATTTGTCGGATAAGTTAAACATCTCTTGTATTACTGGTTTTAAAATGAGTGTCAAATATCTGTCGGGTTTCTATAACTACTGATTTGTTGACTTCACGCAAGTGAAAAACGCCATCAACGTAGATGCTCTTAACTTGGTCGTTTGTATTGCAAATTGCCCGACTATCGGTGAATCCTCGTCCATTTCTCATTGTATGGCTCACATATGCGCGGTTTAACGATACAACAACATACCTACCAATATTAATATGGTGTCAATGTTACACAGACAAGTATATACAACTTTCTTTTATATATTAAATCATATAAATATATTGATACAAATATAATAACACTGAGCACTAGTACACCATTTTCAGCGACTTGCCTGTATTATTCACCGTGACTCAATGTTTCCCTAATTCAACGCAGAAAAATACAATCAAAAGTCGCCATCATAATATAGCGCCTCCAGTGTTACAGCAAATAACGTTTTGTTTATTTTATTCCACATTATTAAGCAATGCACAATGTACATTACAAGTGAAAAGCACACATTGTTACCACGCTATAAAGTAGTGGCAGTTACTGGCTTATTTGCACTTATACCATCATGTAATAAAAACGAGAAATTAGTGACTTATTAAGAATAGTCATAGAATCTATTAAATATTGAGTAAAGAGAATAATAGATTTTCCAAGTCGACTGATTGATTATCGAAACAATAATATAATTGCGCAATGTTATATTGACTGCAATGTGAAATGGGTTACAGCTTTCTTTAGCTCCATGGTTACAGTCACACTAACTACGTCACGTGTCCAAATAAGTCCCTTAACACCATAGACAGTGCATTACCACTGTTGAGCTCAGTATACTACAATAATATTGCAAAACATTAAAAAATGTCTGACAACTGATTGTTCATTATAACCTTGGTTAGACTGCATCACACAAGAGATCACGCCGATAAATTCTGGGTATTTTCAGTTATGAGTAGGTTTCCACATTGTGACGAAGATTTTATCCTGGAATAACGTTTGCCTCTACTTTTTGAACACATTCATTCCATAAATGGATTCTTACCAGGGTGGTTTTTCAGTATAGGTATTGTTTTGTGGAAACTAAGCGCTGCTTTCATGGTCCCTCGGCTGTTCAGGTGAAAGTTATCATCAACAAAAAAAGACCCGTCCATTTCACCGTTTCTTTTAAGAAACAGTCCCTCGTGGTCGATGAAAAGACAGTCGTCTTCTGCGGCTACTGCGCGGAGAAAATCGTTCATGAGACGAGCGTCGTTGCAGTAGCAGTCATTCCGTGGAAGATTACCGGAAATGACGATGTGCACATTTCGATTACGACAATTCACGTCTTTGATGATGCTGCGGAGTTCTAGCACGGCTTGTTTGATCACTTCGAACTTCCCGATGGAAACTTCATCCGACCCCACGTGGATAATTAGAGTACGTACATTCTTTAAATCGGCTTTTTTGTTCAAAAAGAAATGAATTTTCTTCATTGTAGCTTCGTTAAAAATCGTGATTTTCACGTTTCCTAGCAACGTACCGCGATTGATGTTCTTAATTGTGGAGTCTCCGACTATATAAGTGAGCTTTTGATCAGCGCCAGTTTTTTTGATCTGGTAATCCCGGATTGCTTCTATGCCCGAGCTACATATATCGGTAGGTGGGTCCGATAAAGGGTTGCCATAGAGAAAAACCGTCTCCAGGTTTTTCATCCTCATCCCGAACTGTGAAGGCAGCGATTGGATTTTGTTGTAGCTCGCATCTAACTTTTCCAATAGCTTCAATTCATAGATCTGTATTGGTAGCTGTGTAAGGTCGTTATAACTTATATCTAACACAACCAAATGCGATAATTTGAACACAACACTTGGAATCTCACGGAATTTATTACAACTAATCACCAATTCTTCGAGATTCTCCAGTTCTTTGAGTTTACCGGGTAGAGTTTTCAATGCATTGTATTGGCAGTCCAATCTCTTAAGCGACGTGTTCTCACAGGCCTCTAGCGGGAAGCTCGACAACGCACGACTTCTCAGACTCAGTTCCTCCGCCATTTGGAAGTAGTCCGATGTTGAGTCAACCTTGGTATATTATTAAGCAATAAAGTCGATATCAGTGGCGTCGATGATGTATGGTTCATGAACCTCTCAATAAATCAGTACTTTAGTGATTTTACTTTTTGGATTTTATCGATCTGCAGGCTTATCAGCGACACATTACTGACTCGTCATAGGCAACCTGTCGGCAAACAAGAATAAATAGTCTATTAATATACATTGAAATACCACTTCGGTATGCAATTCGTGGCCATGTTGAGGGTTCACCATTTGAGTCGAAAGAAAAGCTTAATACATTTCTTCCTTGTATTAGCGGCATTTAATTAATATATACGGGTGTTTGGGTTCGAGAATTTAGATAAATGTGTCAGGAAATTGGTCCACTCTGACGCCGTCATACCGTACTAACTCATAGTATATCAGCCATGCGTAGTTCAACAAAATAGAGCGGGCCCGGGTGCCTCTCGAAATACTACGTGGTACATGAATACAATTAGAAGCCTTTACGGTAAAATATACTATTTCTTTAAAGGGCATATATCTGTGGCATGCATGACTTGTCTTACCATTGTAGCAACCAATACTCGCATCTTTTAAATTTAAATCTTGAGGATTGTCGGCTTAATTTAGTAAGTTTATTTACTTTGATGGTAATGATCTGACCCGTGTTTAACAAGTATGCTGAACGTAATATTGCACGTCGGTGTTATGAGGGGCTGGTGCATTGTGGGACGGGCATCAATCACTTCTGACAATCGATCACTAATGACTGAATACTGGTCAATAACGCCATTGTTGTTGGCACAATAACACGGTCGTACAAAAGTTAACAAGTTATGGAATTTGTCGGCAATGTAAATAGGATAAGGAGCTTTCATGTTTATTTCGTTGTGGGCTTCATTGTAGCAACATGCGTGCTATTGACCAGATTAACATGGTATTCCAGAATCAGTTTTCGTTGCTTGGGCGTGAGTGATTGCAAATTACTTCACAGTTAATCAGTTAGTTTTGATGTATAGGCGAGGTGTTCATGCTGTTTCGGCAAAGCACGTAAATGTGCAAATTTTTTGACAGTTTTGTAAGCTATTTGGATGACAACAACGCCATGTCCTCGGGGAACCGCATGTATTGTATTATGTTGTATTGTGTGTGTTACAAATTGTGACATTCTTTATGTCTGACTCCTATATCTTTGTTCTCCACGAGGATAAAACGCGCTGGCCTGATTTAGCAGCGCCACGACAAAGACTCCCGGTTACCGTATCCACATACATATACATAAACGGCGTAAAACAAAGAACATGTATGTATAAGGCAAGTCTCGCTCATACAGACACAGTACGCCCCAACAAACACTGCACCCAGTCGCAATAATCGTGTAATAAACTATTTGTTCAAAAGCAATACGCACCACAGAACACCTTTCAAACATTGATACCTGAAAACACACAAAGTAATGTTTCTGTATCTGCAGGGCACATCCCGACGCATGCTTTTCTCCACGAATCCGTCGCCATGTGAATTGGAACGAACCGTCCCCGATTGCACATCGCTACTTTAAGCGCACACAAAGGGAATGATTGAACGAACCCGTCTTACCTTATTTAATTGCTGATGCGCCAGAAGACATTACTCAAATCAAGCTTCAAGTTCTCTTTCCTAGAAAAAAAACATGAACAGCGGCCTTGGAGATCTAGAAAACCAGTCTGTAGTTCGATGGCGTTGTTAAGAGCCGCCTATGCCACGCAACAGGTTGCTGTTTGAGAGCACATCAATAATTAAACCGCCTAGTTGCGTACGAATCTCCTCGGGC